AAGTAATTGAAGTTGTAAACCTTATTAAGGGTTCCAAATGATTTTTTATAGGTGTAGCCTCATGAAATGACAGAATTAACTTGTTAACTTTATGGAAGATGGGAATTTTTTTCTTTTCTTTTTTTGTATAAGTAAGGGATGGTGTTAAACTATATTGCTGAAATGGTAAAGATTTTGGGTATTTGAAGAACTAATTAAACGAATAATTTTTATTAACACGGAGGAGATGGATTGTTTAAGTTTAGAGTTTGGAGTTAGAGATATTAATATTTGTTTACTTGTATTTGAATATTAGCCTAGGTTTGGTTTGGGAAGTCCGGGGGGGTGGGGGGATGGGATATAACATTGTGTAATATCTGTGATGTATTTCTTTTTTTTTATGATAAAAACAATAAAATTTTATATTGAAAAAAAAAAAGGAGAAACTTCCTAACACTGAAGACAATCAGTGGAACAGCTTGCTTTCAGAAATTGTGGGTGCTCCATCACTGGAGGTTTTTAAGAAGAGACTGGACAGTCACTTGTCTGAGATGGTATAGCAGGGGGCTAGACTAGAAGACCTCCAAGATCCCTTCCAACTCTATTCTATCTTCTACAGGTATAGTGCCCCTTGTTAGTTCCTATCTGCTGATTTTGGCATGCTGAAGGTAGCTAATTGGCAATCGTAGACATGATCTTACAATCAGGTATTCCTATATTACTCAGATTCTGTGGAGTGGAACTTTTGTTTGTGTGCTTGCTTAATCTTGTAAAGTTAATTTTATCCTAAACTAATTTCAAATCCCGAGTTAGAAGGAGACATTAGATAATGACATTTTAATCACCTTGTGAATGCAGGAATCTAAATTATCTGTACTGATTATTTTATAGATCAGAGTGTTGTGTGAAAGCAGGGAATAGTTTTATTTGCTAAAATATAGTTCAGCACAACTATGGTTATATTAAAGTAGCATAATCCTTCTTTAGATTTTCTGGGCCTGCCTCTAGTAAATTCTATCTTATTTACTTATTTCATTTACTGATTGATAATTTAAGACTGTTTGACTCCAGAGTGACTGCTTGGCTTACTGTCAGGTCCCCAAACCAAGAAAGACATATTCCTTCAGGTTGATTTCTTTATTGTTCCACACTATAGACAGAATCTTGCCAAATTGAAGCATTCTACTATCTACATCAAACATATATTCTGAGAAGTACTAGGGAAGAGTTGTCTTCGCCCTCTTTGTCTCACACAAACTATCTGGACTGATCTGCCTCTTATTCCTCTGGAATGCATCACTCCCTCCTGGGAATCCAGCCTACTACATTCCATCACACACTATAAAGAATATAGATATAAAAGACAGGAATAAACAGAAAAGTATATACGTCTGGAAACATTTCACAAAATACACCTGATGGGCTCAACAACTATTCTATTCCAGATCCTGGGAAAGAGTCCAGTTGTCTAGAAGACTTTTACAGTGGGAATTACACAGATACAGTCCCTTTTGTATGAGGGAATTACATTTTTCTAAGTCATCTATGCTGCACATTTAATAGTTAATAGTTTTTAATAAACATAGAGAAAAAGTACATTTAAATGAAACTTTGAGTATATATTTCAAATGCATTGCATCACTAATTTATAAAACTTGCTACGTTTTTCAAATTCTATGTATAGAGCTTTAAAAAAAAAGGTTATTTCCTGCCCATGGGCCACAGTTTAATAGATGCAACGCAGTGAAGATTACATGAGAAAGGGAAAGAAAAAACAAATCCAGATAGCAATTTTGAAAATTGCATAAACTATAAATGATAGCTGGAATCGGTTGTGAGGCAGAAGGAGCTAAAATGGTCAAATGATCTAACAGTAAGATTTGCTTTCTATCCTCTCTGACGCAACGTGGAAGAAATACAGAATGAATTGATTAATCAGCTATTTGACAAAATCTTAACTTGGTTAATCAACTAGCAAAGATTTAATCATTTAATAATCCTCTTTCGTGTTTTTCCAAATAAGTCTGTGCTGGATGGATGCCTCAGCTGATTTTTCTCTGAAAAGATATATAAAACATTCTCTAGAATCAGTGTGTAGAATGTATTGGTTTTCTTACAATACTAGGAAAATCAGGTCCTGATTTGTCTTCCAGACATGAAGAATAGGGCAGATGTCCTTTGTGATTATGTTGAAATGTTACAGTTTTTACAAGATTTATGTAGAGATGTAGGAAGAACGATGCCTTTAGTATTATGAAGGACCAGTTAATGTTGGGAATATATCAGTGCCAATGCGAGCTGCTAAAAAACCTTGTAATCCAGAGATATTAAGGGTCATGCTAGTTGGTTCTTAATTTAAGAACACTCATCTTACATCAAATAAGGAAGGTATTTTTGCTGAACACGTTGCTTTTTCTGGGGTACTGTCGAGAGTTTGACATGCCTGGTACAGAGGCTGCCTGCTGGAGGTGGATAGGACCAAACGAAAGTGGATAGATCCACTGTCTCCTTCCCTTCCTTTTTCCTCCTTGCTTTAGTGTCTGTGGAAATTCTTAGTCATCCAGGTTATAGTTGTCCCAAAGGTGATTTTTCAAGAGGCAACTGGACGTACTTTGTTTTTCCTTGAAGATGTTTCACATTTCATTCAAGAAGTTCTTCAGTTCTGACTTCCATCCCTCACCATTCAGTCAGAACTGAAGAAGCTTCTTGGATGAAAAGCAAAATGTCCTCAAGGTAAAACAAAAAAGGCCAGTTGTCTCTTGAAAAAG